CTTATTTTACAAAAAAAAAAAAAAAAAAAAAAAAAAAAAAATTAAACATATACATAACTAAAACTATGTTACCTAATTAAATCATTTTCTTAGGTAAGTCTTTAATCAACTCGTCCACACTGGCCCACCACAATTTTTTTTTCTTATTTTCTTTAAACTACCAACCCTTTATCTTTAATAATAGACACCTATTTTTTCTCACCCCATAAGGCCGTAACCTCTTCGTTGTTTATTTTTTGTTCACCTGTTTAAATTTCATACAAACATGAATTACTAAACTTTTATTTTTGGTGATGACTTATACTTTTTACAAACGAATTATTATCTTTTGATTGTTTTCAATGAATATCATGACGTCAAGGTGTAAGAATAAACGAAACATAATGGTAATTGGTAAACGTGACATTCGACCAACTTATTTATTATTTGGTATATCACTGATGTATAATGTATAATTAAAAAGTTAATTAAAAGCATCAGTCAAATGGTCGAAACTAAACATAACTCCGTCAGAATCTATATATATATATATATATATATATATATATATATATATATATATATATATATCCAATTAAATTTTTTTTGATTTTCAGTTTATGTCGTATTATTTTATTGGATCACTTTTAGGTCCGACTTATTCTCATTCAACAATGATACGATATGATAATAGCACTTGACTAGATTATAAGCCCCATGGAACACGGTTGATAGAGTAAAACAATTCTAAAATTTAACTTATAATTAATAATACATTTGCAAATAGTTATTTTAGCTGAAACTTAAAAAGTTTCATTATTAATTACTGATTTAATTCTTTTTACTAATTTATAGTATTTAGTTGATAATATCTAATTTTGGTAAACTAATAATTTCAAAATTTTCAATATTACCAAAGCTATTATCCTAAATGTATGTTGCTATTTCGAAAAAGTTAAAAGAATAATACTTTAATAAAGAAATAGATTATAACATTGTATTTTGAAAAATATTATAGCATAGTACATTCATCTCTTCCTATTACAATGTTGTAATGAAAAGAACAAACAATTCATGAAAACAACAAAACAATTTCAAAAAAGATTTTTTTTTCTTAAGTCTGGTTAATTACCTCTTATGCACATAGGTCGTCTTACTCGCCCTATGTATGTTGCCTTAATATTCTAAAACTTTGTAATCAAATCAATAATATTAGTATACAAAATAAGATGAAAATTAGAAAAAAAGTTGGAATTATTAGAGGTTATTGTTAGTCATTAATGAGAGTACCTAAGCTTCCTAAATTTGTAGAATGGAAGCAAAATACTATCATTAACAATAAATTTATTGCAAATGAACTCTTAGTGCTTGAGTTTGACAGAATAGATCTACATTGATAATAATAAGGTCCAATATGGAATATAGAGAAAAACCATGGTTGTAGAAATCGGGATTAATCGGCGATTAATCGTGTGATTAATCGCTTGACGTTCTCCAACCGTCAAGGATTAGGGTGTTAATCGGAAATTTAGGATTAATCGGGTTTGGCGGGATTAATCGGTCTTGGCGGGATTAATCGGTCAACAAAAGTCAACAAATTCGAAAAAAGTCAAAAAAAAGTCAAAAAATGTCAAAAAAAAAAAAATTTAAAAATTTAAAAAAAAGTTCAAAAAATCAACTATTGTTTTTACTTCAAAATTTTAAAATTTTAAAATTTTCAAATATTATACCAAACTGTTCATATTTCCGTATTTTCAAAATTTCAAATTACAAATTTTCTTATTTTCGAATTTTGAAGTACTTGTTTTTCTTAAGATATATTGATATTTGATTAATTTTAATATTTTATTAATAATCTATGCTCCCCGATTAATCCCTTAACACCAGTCGACCGTCGAGCTACCGTCGAACGATTTTTACAACCTTGATAAAAACTTGCATCTAGGATTGCTTGTTACATAAATTGATAAAAAAAAATACATTGTTATTTGTGAGTTTTGTATAGGCTTAAATGCAAGCAATAGCAAATTACTTTGATATATTGGTGCATAATAACATCCGAGTCTCTATATGACTTTACATGATGCAACTTATCCAATATCTCTCTATCAACTTTACTGATCAAAGTAAATAATGATTATTTTATATTCCATGATAAATGAAAAGAATCCGGATGAAATCAAATTGATAATTTAAAATTCTGTTTTAAGTCGGCAAGTAAAGTAACTGCGGTTAAATTCTCGCCCAATAAAAAATGGTAAACTTTGATTATGAGGTCCATAATACTCTCTTTTAGCTTTCACATTAAAATGTTGATCTCGAGCCGTTGAACACAATGATGTTAGTTTTGCCATAATATACATGTCAAGCTGAATCTAAAATTAAACTGATACACTGGATTGAATGAGTCTTTAGGCAAGATGTTAGGCCCGATGTAGATTAGATAAGTATGAGTTTGGGTGAACACATAAAGTTTCATTTAGATAAAGTTGATTCATAAGTTTTATGCATCTGACATCTTAACATCATTGCACACTGAAGCATGGTTTTTTTTCTTCCAGGTTCAAACCAACCATTCTTCCTTCCTCTCTTAATATCTAAAATATTAAAAATTGAAATCCAAATAACATATGCGAGATACGAACATCATTTTTTTCTGTTTTAACTTGCATACAAGAAAAAATAACAATGAGAAACAATAAACTCATTTATATACAAAAAAGAAAAAATACAAAAAAAAAAAAAAAAAAACTTACAACTTACTTTCAACATTAATTGATTTAGCCACTTAACTATTTTTTATAATGATTTTAACCAACATATTTTTATATCTTTTAGTTTATAAAAATCATTTTCCCAGTGACCCAATTTTGAAAAAGCAAAACATATTGTCACCATTTTACTGATGTAAAAAATTATTGTTTTTTATTATTAAAATAATAGTTTAGTGGATAAATCGATAATAATCTAATGGCTAAACAGATAAAATTGTTAAAATACACTGTGTTTTTTTGTATTTTACCTCGATAACAAAACCATAACCGGAAAACTGATTTTTTTTTAACTATCAAAAAATGTAGAATGGTTTAAATAATACAAAAGAAATAGCGAGATGACTAAATCAATAAAAATATGAAAGTTCAAGTGTTTTTTCTATCATTTACCCAAATAAAAAGTAAGATCATTTTTGAAAGAAATACTTGGTATAAAAATTAAAATTACAAACCTGAGGAGGACCTTCTTTTTGAGAATGTTATATTAACAAAGATAAAAAATATCCCACTCCAATGGATAATCCATTTTCTGAAAATTTTGAACAAACAAATAGCCAATAAAATCTTGATTTTCAAGTAACAACATACAATAATTGTCAAATTGACAAGTAAATTTGATGGAGAATGGGTAAGTTTATTATTACTCTCAAAACCTTTGCTTTTTGATTAGATTCATTCTTCCATAAAAATCATATAAATTGTATAGTCAAATACATTGCAAATAAAGTAATAGTTGTAAGAAAAATAAGCATAAGTTAAAAAAAACATATTAGATTTTGACCAAAAATTGAAATAATAATAGAGGTCTTATCCATTAATGTATGGATCCCTTAAGTAACCATTGAGGAATTTCGTGGAACACTTGATATGTTTGTCTAAAAACAAGTTAACAGAAAAAAAAATTAGTTGACAAATTAGTGAAAAATGAAACCCAACCATTAAAATCATCATTTATTGGAACAAATTGACGAAGGAGCATCGATAGAACCATAAACATTCAATTGAAAGAGATGAATAGGAAAATAATACATGAAAAATTCCAATTCAAACGAAACCAAAGATGAAATTTGATCGACGTTGGAGTTCAAAAATCAAATAACTCACTACTTCTAGATCAAATAATTCCAAGGTTCAAAAACTTTCAACGACTGATCAATAAAAAGGAATGTAGTGGACTTGTATTTATACAGAGATTAAAATTTGGAAGCGGTTACCTTCGTAGTTTCTTTGAATCTTGCTAATCAACCCCAAAATATTGGTTATCAGTAACTGATTTCTCGGATGGAAGATGGAAGACCAGATTGTGAGATTTTATAGTAAGTTTGATAGATCAAAAAAGGTTTAGAGAGAAAAAGGTGTGCTTAAACGACTTGTTTGTGCATAAAATGACGGTGAAGGTAGAGCAATGGCAAGGTGGATCTAGAGAGCAATGACGTCGAGTGCAAATTTATTTCTTTAGAGAGATTCAAGGTACTGATAATTTCGAAGAAAGATATGGTTGATGGTTTTGAAGATTCCTGATTTTCTGAGACGATATGAGTGATAAACTATTAGCTGAGACTTTAAAAAAGTGCCATGTGGCAGAAGTATTATGTAGAAAGGTGTCATGTCGCCTAAAAAGAATTCTTTTATTAGAGAGGAGATTTATTCGTATCCTTATTCTAATAAAAGAATAGTTTTATTTTCCTTTTGACATGTGTCATTCTATTAGGTCTCCTAATTAATGTATATTTTATTTTTCCTTTTGCCATGTGTCGCCTTATTATGTCTCCTAATTAATGCATGCCACTTGTCAACTAAATTTCAAATTTCAAAATTTAAACTTTCCACTTTAATTACATTAAATTAATAACATTAGAATAAAAATTAAAATAAAATTAATACAAATTATAAAATGATATAATTTCACATATTTATTTAAATCAATGATTAAAATTTATATAACTAAAAAAATCTCTTAATTAATAATTTATTTAAAATAATTAATTAATAATTTTAAGTTTTTACTATAAAAATTTAATTAATTTTGTAACCGTACAGGTTATAAACTAGTAATATATAAATACAACATATAAATGGTTTAAAGGAACATAATCTTAAATTTTAAAAGAAAAGGTAGTGGGTCTAGAATCGTAAGACTTACAACATGAGGGGTAGAAGTGAAAATATATATATGGCAATCTTTTTGACTTTCCTAATCCCTTGTACAAAAGAGCTTCCAAGTGTTTGTCGGTCTTGCAAAACGTCGCCGTATCTGACAATCGTCATCATGGATGTTCGCGTTGGCTAACATTCGCATTTCACCCAAATCACCTCTCTCTATCTCTCTCCGTTCTTCCCTACTCTGTACAGAGTACAGACCAGAAAGCACTCAGATTACACTGTAAATTGATTCCTCCAATTTTCTACTAAATAATTGGTTTGTAGATCAGTCGGATCTTATCAGAGATGGGTTGTACACAATCGAAGATCGAGAACGAAGAAATTGTGAATCGGTGCAAGGAAAGGAAAACAGTGATGAAAGAATCAGTATCTGCTCGGAACGCCTTCGCCGCTGCCCACTTCTCCTACGCTGCTGCTCTCAAGAACACCGGCGCCGCACTTAGTGACTACGCCCAAGGCGAGGTTCAATTCTCTGATCACCGGCATCCCTCCTCTGTTGACGCAGTTTCCTCTTCGACAACCATTCTCCCTCCAGCACCACCACAACCCCCATACGAAAACCTCCCTCCGCCCCCACCACCGCCTCTCCAACGAGCCGCTACTATGCCGGAATTCACCATTTCGGAACCGGAATTCAAGTCGCATCCTGACCCGATCATCGAAGAAGGCGACGAGGATGATGAGATTGATGATCGTAGCTTAAAGCGCCGGACTAGTTCTAGAAGCTCCGCTGGTGCCGGTGTCAGAAGTGCTTCGAAAAGAGAGGCCGAAAAACAGGATCTCCCTCCGCCATCTCCACCACAGCCAACGCCACCACGTCCGACCGAAAACACTCTCAATCGTACCGCACCGCCTCCACCTCCGTCTCACGGGATGTCTTCATGGGATTACTTTTTCTCGTCGATGGAAAACGTTACAGGCCCGAGTCTGGCTGAAGCAGATAGCCAGAGCAGTAGATTCGAACGCGAAGAAATCCACCAACGGAAAGTGTTGGAGGAGCAGGAGGAGGAGGAGGTGCAGGTGCAACACAGGTCTATGAAGAATCATATGAATCACCATGGCGGCGATGAAAGAGGTGGCGATAGTGGTGATAATGAGGTTGAAGAATTGGCAACCGAAGTGGAGGAAGAACCTCCACCACCCCTACCTAAAGCTGTAAAGAAGGTTCGGGTTCCTGTGTCAGTTCCAGCAGAAGGCAGAAGATCATCCGGTAAGGGTGGTGGTGGACAGAGTCTGGACTTGTTGCAGATATTTACTAAGCTTGATGATTGTTTTCTGCAAGCATCAGAAAGCGCCAATGAGGTTTCAAAGATGCTTGAGGCCAATAGACTGCATTACCACTCAAATTTTGCAGATAATCGAGGTATATCAACATGATTCATGTTCTTAATTTTACTGGGTAGTAAACTGTTTGCAAGATTTGATCCAAAACTTAGTAGAAAATTCTCTTAATGCTGATATCTGTGACTGGATTGTTGGTTTTCAGGGCATATAGATCATTCTGCAAGAGTCATGCGTGTGATTACATGGAATAAGTCTTTTAAAGGATTACCAGATGCTGATGATAAGAAGGATGACTTTGATTCTGAAGAGAATGAAACCCATGCTACAGTGTTGGACAAGATGCTTGCATGGGAGAAGAAGCTATATGATGAAGTCAAGGTACTTTGATGCACCCAAATCACATCACATTTTCCATTAAGTTTTCTGTATAAAGTAGTCATCTTTCTGTATTAAGTCAAAAAGAAACACTCATATATATCTTACTAGATTAAGTTGAACACATTGATTGATGCTCATTCAACAGGCAGGTGAATTGATGAAACTTGAGTACCATAAAAAGATCGTGTCACTAAATAAACTCAAAAAACGTGGTGCTAGTACCGATCATTTGGAGAGAACAAAAGCAACTGTAAGTCATCTGCACACAAGATACATCGTAGACATGCAATCAATGGATTCAACCGTTTCTGAAATCAATCGGCTTCGTGATGAACAATTGTACCCAAAACTCGTTCAACTTGTCAATGGGTAAGTTTCAAATCCGTATAATTCTTCTCAAAAGTATTCTTTAGATAAATGGTCGAAAGTCGTAGAAAAATCCACTTCCAATGTGGATTGGAAAAGTAGTTGTTTACTTGATGTGGGCCAGCTCCCTATGGACCCTTGATTACTAGACTGTGTCAGGGGTTGTTGGAAGAATAACCTTTTAACTGTAGATGATATTTTTAAACAGGATGGCGGAAATGTGGGAAAACATGAAATTACAACATGACTACCAATCAAAAATTGTTCAAGCATTACGATCTCTTGACATCTCTCATTCACCAAAAGAAACAACCGAACTCCATTACAAAAACACAAGCCAACTTCATGATCATGTCCAAATGTGGCATTCCCAATTTGAAAAACTCATGTCACACCAAAAAGAATACGTAAAAGCCCTCAACAATTGGCTAAAACTCAACCTTATCCCGATTGACAACAACCTAAGAGAAAAAGTGTCCTCACCTCAAAGACCACAAACCCCACCAATCCAATCCCTTTTAAGAACGTGGAACGATTTCCTCGAGAAGCTTCCGGAAGAAGGAGCAAGAACCGCTATACACAACTTTGCAGCTGTCATGGACACAATCTTTCAGTACCAAACAGATGAAATGAAAATGAAGGAAAGATGTGAGGAAACAAGAAGGGAGTTAACGCGAAAAACACGGAAGTTTGAAGATTGGTATAATAGGTATATTCAGAAAAGAAGTTCGGAAGATATGGAGCATGATAAGGAAGTGATTGCTGAACAACAAATTACAGTTGAGTTGTTGAAGAAGAGATTGGAGGAAGAGGAAGAAGGGTACCAGAGGCAGTGTATTCAGGTGAGGGATAAATCTTTGATGAATTTGAAGACGGGTTTACCGGAGGTTTTCAGGGCAATGTCGGAATTTTCTTGGGCTTGTTCACATATGTATAAAAGCTTGAGGTCTCAAAGGATGAACCAAAATCCAAATGCAAGTTTTTCATGAGGTATGATGATATGATGTAAGCAAGCTTGTTGTTCGCTTGTTTGTATGATTTGATAAAGGTTATTAATTTGATTTGTATGATTCAAGTGTGAAGGAGGTTTAGTTGCATGTTAATGTGATTTCATTTTTGGTATTACCCTATATTTTATATATTATCCTTGCTTTTGTTTGATGTGGATGCCGTATCAACCACTAATAAAAAAATCATCGTTAGTTATGAAGTCAAATAAAAGCAAACATGAAATTGATGGTTAGAACAACTTACAATGCAATTTTCAGATGCTTCAATCCCCTAAACTTTCACCAGAAAGTAGTCGTTCATGCAATACAACAATGGAGGTTCGATGGAAAGATGATACAAACGCTCCACTTTATAATCGAGGTCCTCCAAAACTCGCAGTCGTTTTGCAAAAGGTCATAAAAGTCTAAAACTTCCGGATTTGATTTGCTACTTTCATCAACCAATTGGTAATGAAACTGATTCGTACATAACAATTTTTGTTTTTGTTATATTGTTTAAATTGTATAATATTAAAAAAAAAAATGTAAAAAAGTTTCTTTATTGGTGTGTATGATATAAAAGATGAATCATCTCCCAATTGATAATAGTTACGGAAAGTGAAATAGAAGGTTTCTACGGAAGTAATGGCAAAATTGATATGAAAAATTAATTTATAGCCAAACTAAAATTTGTGGGAAAACTTGATAGGCTTTTCTGTTAGGGAAAATCTTAGAAAAACTCAATATATTTTCATCATAATCTTTAAAAAAACCACTATATTATTTTTTTTACATTAAAATCCTTATATTTTTTAAAATGTTTAATTTAAGGCTTTGAGTTCAATAAACCCTAGATAGCATCTCTTTCAAAAAAAGAAAAAAAAGAAAAACCCTAGATAGCAAAAAATGCTAAGCAATCTATTTTCAACGGTTTGATGGTTACAATCTACGTGGACTAAAAGTTTTCAAAAAATATAAGAATTTTGATGTACTAAAAAAATAGTATAGTGGTTTTTTTAATACGTAGATGAAAATATATTGAGTTTTTCTAAACTCAAAAAGACTTAAATAAAACTTTAAGAAAATATAAGGGTTTTAGTGCATCGGGCGGAGGCAAACTCCAGTTTTCTCCTTTCAGGGGTTTCTGGGGGATTGGTGTCGGGTTCTATCAACATCCAAAACAATGGGAAACTTGGTTGTAAATGAAGGATGTTGTTGTTATCTCTTTGAGGAGTGATAGAACCGGGTTCGTTGGGTCTTATGACATATTGCTCTATCGGATGTTATTGCCCGCTGCACCAAACCGCCGTTCAAACAGAAGAAAAAGAATAATATAATAGTTTATTTTTTAAGAATTAAATAAAAACATATTGAGTTTTTATGAGGTTTTCTTTACGCTATTAACCCAACTTGAGATGAAACCTAATAACTAACTGAGAGAAAAACGAGGACCGAAGTGCACAATTTGTAAAAGGCCTGCTATTTATAGCGGAAACCACAGCGAAACTTCTAAATCATGGCGTCCGGAAAACCCGAACCACCGCCTCCCACCGACTATCGCTACGATGCTCTTCCTTCTACTCCTCAACAAAACCAATATTTCGTTGTCTTACCCTTCTACTCTCCCTCCGGCCACCTCAGGTGGCGTCGATTATGCCGTCGCTACCTCTCCTGCGCCAGCACCATCCTCCTTCTCTCCGTCGCTCTCTACTTTCTCTGGCCCTCTGATCCTTACCTGAAAGTGGTAAATCTCCGCCTCGACCGCCTGAAAATACACGCTGTTCCTAAGATCTCCCTTGATATTGTGTTAGGTGTAAAAATTAAGGTTCGTAATCCTGATGTTTACTCGCTCAATTACGAGTCTCTCAATGTCTCGGTCGGGTACAGGGGAGAGCAGCTAGGGTTTGTCACATCGGATGATGGAAAGGTTAAGGCATTCGGTACATCGTATATCGATGCTACACTGGTTCTTAATGGATCAGAAGTGATCTCCGAAGCGTTTTCTCTGATTCAAGATCTGGTGAAAGGTTCGATTCCGTTTACCACGACCCCTGAAATTCGCGGCAGCCTTGGAATTTTCTTCTTTCAACTGCCAATTTCGGTATGGATATCTCTCTGCTAAATCTCTAATTTGTATAATACTATATGAACGCATAATCTACAAGCAGTTTTCTGGCGGATTTATTACTTCAGTTCGTGGTTAATTGCAAGTTATAGCTGATAATCAGTTAATTACTACTTACAAAAACACAACTCTTCCTATTTGATTGATGTTATAGAACTGTGTATCATATTGATTGTTATGAGCTCCAGTTATTGCAAAGTAAAGAAAGTACCATAACAAAGTTTCATTTTCCTTATCCACTCAAATTTGCGTTCTTTATGACTGCTATTACACTCTTAAGAAAATCATGCATTGCATAAACATGAATGTTACTAATTGAAGTTGCAATTGAAACTCCATCTGGTAGAATTGTTAGGGTGCATATTAAGATTTAAGCCATCTGGATCTATATCTCAATATATAGCCTGCAGTCTAGTACTTTTTGATTAGATATTGCAACGATCTTTGATCATTTATCCAGACAACACTTGATGAACAAAAGAAAAAAAAAACATCACGTAACTTTTTAAAGCATACATGTACTAGGTTGCTCATGTTTTGGTAAAAAAAGATCATTTTTGATGATTCATACATGTTGTAGAGAACCTTGATTCCATTATCATGATTCATGCATATCTGGTGATCCATCTTCAATCTTCAATTCTCATCTGTCAGATATTTGCTTCTAATAATAATTGATGTTGATGAACAGGCTAAGTTATCATGTGAGGTTGTGATGAACATAAACAATCAAACAATAGAACGACAAGATTGTTATCCTGCGGTAAATTGAAACCTTTTCCAAGTTTCATTATATAATGAAAAGATTCAAATCCCTCTGTTTAGTTTACAAAAAAAATAATGAGACTTTTTTGTGATCAGTGATGCGGTGTGGAAGAACACTGACAAAACTAAAGCTATCAAGAAGGAAACAAATCATGCTATGGTTTTAGGTAAATTCTCCTTAAATTAGTCTTTATTTATTTTTATTTTTTTCGGGGTGATTATTGATTATTGTGTTAGAGCTGATTCATAAAATAAACCCCAATGTAAATATAATGACATCATACACTCTAGTTTACATATTGTTACTTTGTTATTTCGCCTTATTGATTCGTTTACACATTGTTATTTCACCTTATTGATGGAAATATGTGTAATTACCATTTCCTTCAAAGAATTATGAACATCATTATGAAAAAAGCTAATCTCATAAATAAGTACTGAAAGTGAAAATCAAGTTCTGGAGTTTTGAACATGTTTAAGAGGTCTTTTGTGACATATGTTGAAAAGGTAGTTATTTGGAGATATATCCTTCTCCATTTTGGTCATTTTTTGATTAGCTCTTAATTATGTCAACATAGTTTATCTTTACGTGTTGAGACATGATAGCAGATTTTTTTAGTTTGTTTTATAAATGATTACTGTGTTAAATGTGATATATAAAGTTTTTGAATAAATAATTTAGGAGACATGTATTGAAGTACATTTTTGATGCCCTTGATGGGATTCTTTTTGAAGGAAAATTTTCATTTCATCTTTTATATAGATAAAATCATAAAATGTAGGATAATTTATAGAAAATCGCTATATTTTTTAGAGTTGGCAAAAAAAGACACAAACTGCCAACTCAACACAAACCCAACTCGATAATTAGTTGGTTGAGTTTAAGATTCTCAATCTGTTTTATTAATCAAAGTCAAAATATTTAATCCATTTAGTTAAATGGGTTGGGTTATGGTTGAAATTTTTAATACCGTTTTAACTAAAACCCGTCAATTGTTTAACAAGTATATTTCTTTTTCTTTTTCCTTTATAACGTTTAGTAGTTAGTTTTTCGTTTTAATAATTTATCTTTGTGTTTATGGTTGTAATTATGTTCAAACTTGAACATCGAACAATATTGAAGTTTGCAACTTTTTTCAAATATTATTTGAATCGTTATTGAGATATGCATCACAATTAATTAGGTGTAAGTTTCTTACATTAATTATTATTATTTAAATTGGTTAACATGAATTATACCTGTTTATTAATATATTTTCATTTACAAGTGTCTATAATCAAAAGGTCTTAGGTTCAATCCTAGACATATATTAATTCGTTCGTTAAAAAAATAAATAAATAATAAATAAATAAGTTGGGTTTGGTTTTGAAATTCTCAGCCCGTTTACAAAAAAATTGGATTGGGTTGAAATTTTCAATTCATTAAATTAAATAGTTCTATATGAAAATATAATTCTACATGAAAATGACTCAACATGACCCATGGTCACTCTTAATGTTTTGGCCATTTTTATGGTTTAAGCACTACATTTCAAAATTGTGATGAAAGTCATCCAAGTTTAACTTTATTTCTTATTTTGACACTACGGCATGATGTAACATAGATTAAAATCGTAACGATAGAAAATTTTATCAAAGTTTAGTGATTTTAGTAAAAATTGACATTAATTTGCTCTATGAGGTCTAGTATATCAAAGTTGTCGACATGAAAAATTGTTAAATTTGTGATTTTTATTGACGAAATTGAAATATAATGGATAAATCATACAAATGGTCAAAATATATTGGCTTTTGTCATCTTTCCATACCTCCATCACAAATTCTATTTCTATCGTTTTACTAACAAATAAAAATATATAACTGTTTGTATACCATCTCGATTTGGGATCTTTTTCTTCGGTATCGATGCACCTGTTTATTTTGTATTATTGAACGACTACATAATCGGTAGACAGACTCTACTATTCATATTATGACATATTTACTTACATAAAAACATTGTCATATACCTTTAATGACATTGGTTTAAAAAAGTGTGCAAGTACAAACTCATCATGGTCCGAATGTGATGCGTGCATATCGAGGCGCATCAAATGATGTGCACATCAAGGCGCATCAAATGATGTGCACGTCACTCACTAGACCGGTTGACGTAAAAAACATCTAATTAGAAAGCAACTGTTTCTCTTCAAATTTTTCTCTTTCTCCCATACAACCATTATCTTCTTTCATGGGTGTTCATATATTCTTTTAAATGCTCTTCTTAGTTTTTTCATTTTTAATATGACATTACTGATTAGTGATTATACTAGACTAAACAGTAAACAAAAAAGTTTCAGGAGTATAGTTTTTGTGTTGGGTGTTCTTAACCCATAAAAACTCGAGAAATAGTAGAATTTGCTTGATTAATATTTACTATTTATGTAGTACGTTCATATTTGGTATTTATATGATGTTTTATTTGTGATGATGCAAGAAATACTCTTGCTAATGCCTCCAATGGCTAAAACTCTTGGTACCTTGTCTTTTGTGGTAGATTGCTTTGTCAAGTATATAATTATGACGACAATCAGGTGTCTAGTCATTTATAAAATGTGTAGTTAAAGGTATATAAGGCTAGAGGGAGTGGCCGCGGTTTGGGAGTGCGGTTTTGCCACCTAGGCAGTGAACACCGCCCTCTGGGTGCGGTTTAAACCGTATTGTGGTAAGAAATGGCCGCGTTTTGTGATTGGTGGGGAGAATTTGACTGTTTTGTGATTGGTTGGGAGAAAATTAAAATTTTTATTTAAATAAAGTGTGACACCACTCCTTGGGTGTGGCAATGAACCGCACTCTTGTGATAAAAAATGATATGACGCTTATGTGACAATGAAGGGAGTGCGGTTTCGGTGGCACCACTCCCTCCAGCCTAAGAACGTATATGGTCTCTACGCAAGGTCCGCAAAGGTGATTTGGCATAGATGTTTACGGGTAAATACTGTCCTCATGTGCGAATCTAAAGCTTTGAGTGTGGGGGCACATAGCCACATGCCCCCAATGGCTAAAAAATTTGGATATAAATACCCCAATTATTTTAAATTTTATTTGAAAGGTCCTTTATGTTTTTGAAAAGATTCAAAAATGCCCCCAACAACAAAAATAAAAACCTGGAATCGTCACTGCATGTAGATTGTTGGTGGCGTGGCATAATCCCCGATAGATAAAATGGTACAGTGTTTTTCCATATAATAAAATTGTTCATATGAAATCCATTTCAATGTAACATTCAACCAAGTGATTTGTTTTGATGTTTTACTTACTGATTTGTTATGTAATCTTTATCCATTCAATCGATTCCTATTCATTATTACTTATAAAAAAAGTTGAATTTAGTTTTAAGCTGAATAGTAAGACTAAAGACTTTAAAGGGTTTTTTTTTTATTATTATTTTTTTTAGTTTTTTGGTATCAAATCATGTTCATGAATATATTAATTATGTTTTGGTGTTGTAGTTTTGTAGTCTAATAAACATCTACAATTTAAACGTCAATGTTGATTAACTTCAACATATACAGGTAGTTAGTATGTTTTAAGAAACTATAATTATCAAATGGTCATATATTGTGTTACTCCATGGATACTATCTACTATATATTGTGTTACTCCATGGATACTATCTACTTTGAGTAATTTACTACAAACTTTGTCCTGATAATGAGAGTCTAATGGTTGATGTACATAATTATATAAAATACATATTTCACAAATAACATGGACAACGAATTAATGTATAATCAAACAAGGCTTTTTTAAAATATTGATTTTATTCTGTAAAATAAGACAATATTTGTATTTACATAATAAAGACATTTTGAAAAATATAGATTTTGTTTTACGAAGTGTTATATTTTATAACCTCCTTTCTTCTTCTCCGGTCATTAGAAAATCTAATTCAACATTTCTATGATGAATTTGTTCTCTTGAGTCTGCTTCATACCCTTGAATGCTCAATTTCATCATCACCCCTACCATCTTTCTTATCATTGAACACCATATTTCTTTGTCCCGTGGAGGACAATGTATACCAAAGTCATCTGTAGGGGTTGTATGTCTTGAAAAAATCCTCATTTTTTGTCTTCATTTCAATGGTGTTCAACAAATTCCGATGTTGAACAACTTTGCGACTATCCATGCAAGAACGTTTCATGAAAATGCACCAAAGCTTTCCCACTTCCCTCAAAACACCGGATCTTATGCATAACACTCTTCATTTTCTTACACATAGTCATAATTTAGGAGTCAACCCTCCTTTTTCACAATTCACTAACTTATATGCATGATACTTTTCATTTCCTCATGGAAAGTCATCAATTCAAAGTCTAAGCGTCTTCACTCTCTTCTAAATCTCGATCAGATCACATATCTCAATATAGTCTTTTCCGCTACAAATACCCTAATGATCACACCTAGCTATTTATCTTCATGAAGTCTCAACACTACATTCTCATATAAGCCAAAGCATCAATGTAACATGTCCTCATTTCTTGTTTAACATGATCGTCGTTATCTCATATAGCCCGCTACTTCTCATAAGTTCAACATCAGTTACTAAATCCCATGCTAAGTACTCTTATAATATAAGTCTTATAAATCATATCCATTCCCCAGTAGTGTAACATAATAACATATAAGGTGTCAAATCTAAGGCATGCTAGTGCTCTCCTATTAATCTTATTGTTAGTTAAACATCATAAGGACAAAACTAAGTCACTTTAAGCATATAGGATAGTAGTAGGAAATGTTAGTTGTAAAAACCTAAAGGCGTGTAGGATACTAAGCATACAAGATAATAGTAAGAAATGTTAGTTGTAAAAACCTGAAGGCATACTACAAAACTCTTTTTTCAAATCATCCCTTGTGCATTGTTGTTTAAATTTAAGAGCTATAACAAGTAAGTACCTTGGTTACTTAAACTTAAACTCCCATATATATTAAAACACCCCTCATATGGGCTTGTTTGAAATAGTAATAGAAAATAACTCAAAAATGTTTTTAAAGACCATTTTAATCATTTGAGAAAGTCCTAAAATATCAAAAGTCTTCTAATTATCCATGTCTTATTTCCAAGATGCACAACCGAAACCGCTAGTAACATATGCACATGTTAAAGTAGTATGTTAGACCTGGTAAGCCTAATGAGTCACATATGGGTTAGATGTCTTGTAAAATATATGTGGAGTCCAAGATTGTCTCTTCAAAAGAACCCTTACAGAAATATGAAAGACTCTAAGATAAAGACATAAGGGACTGTGTTGCGCTGATGTGGGTTACACTAACACTCATCCTCAAAGATGGAGGCTTATATATATATATATATATATATATATATATATATGGAGTCGAAGACTGTCTCTCCAAAAGAGTCTTTATGGATATATGAGAGACTCCATCATATATAGAGACATAAAAGACTTTGTTGCACCGATATGTGATACACCAACATATCTCAAGAAAATATATTCAAATGAGCGACAATATATGAGGAATAACCCTTTTTTTCTCCTTTAAAAACCATCTCAAAAGATATAATTTGGAGAAAAACATTGCAATAAAATTACAAACACTTTTTTAAAGGATATACATCACAAAATCATAGCAAACATCACAAGAAGTAACATTGTATATACATAAATATGTAATGAAAAATATATACTTAATGTCCAACCCCAAATGCATTGCAATCATCTTAAACCCTAAACAATCTCAATATATAGATGGTTAAGTAGAGCATGTAGGTAAGTTAACATAAAGCATTATTAACAAACTATGGTTCAATCATTGTTAGTTATTTGTAAAACTAGGTAGCATGTGAACCTATCACAAATATACCACACAAAACCATTTACAGATCCCAACATGTTGTGATGCATTCTAGAATGCCATAGCAAACATCTCAATATCCTCAAATTAGATATCATTGTACTCTCACGTGTCCAGACCATACTAGTCTCACAGCCAACATATATATATATATATATATATATATATATATATATATATATATATATATATTGATGCATATGATCATGATTTAAAAAAATCGTAAATATCTTGAAAGATGATTTAACATTTTGCAAGATGTCCCTAATTTTGTAAACTCTTTAATCACAAGTTATTTACTCAAAAGAATTAAAAAAAACATCATATACTATTCCAATCAATACATAGTATATAATAAAACAAACACATAAAATATCAAAGCAGGACGTCGGACATGTGCTCATATTACCATGTACTCAATTTCTTTGTGTAGGATGTTAGCCCTAAAACCCTTTATTTTAAGAATTCCTAAGATAAAAGCAACTGCACATGGGTAATTAAGCATAATACATCACTAACTAATCTTAATTTTGCTAGCTAAGGTCACATATTAATTTATCAGTCCATGTTATCTCGTAAACACTATTGAATTGTCTTATAGGGAACCATTTGTAACAACCAAATAACCATTAAAATCAAAAAAATAAAAATTGAATTTTCTTTGTTGGACAAATCATTACATATTCATGTAAAATTGGTCATGGATAAAACTTTCAGGTTTACAACAACTCCAATTTATCCAATTCAAATTGAACACTTTGAAGATCACTTTGAACGTGACTTTTTTTAGGATCTAGTATGTAAATATACTATATTGCTAATTATATATAAACCAATGAGGTCACACACAAAGAACATTGCAAATGCTTATATTATTAACATTGCAAATGCTGATATAAATAATATATTTATAAGTGATAAATTTATGGTTTAATTGTTTTTGAATTGTTAAATCCTCAACAAAAACTGGGCGATTTTAAGCTTAACTTTTGGTTTATTTGAATAAAAATGATGTTGGAACAAATGAAAGTGGACAAGGGTACTTCGACCACCAAAAAGAGGCCAAATTTTAATTAATCTTTATAAGTCTTGTCAAAATTATGTTTCACTCATCATGATGATGATTGTGCATGGTGGATCAACTCTAGGGATACAAGCCATACATTTGATGATAAGTTGTTGGCTATTGTTGTTTGTTTGTGGTTTTGATTCCATTTGGTCGATGATATTAATTTACGGTTATAGTTGACCCTAATTACCTTCCTAAGTCATTAACCCTAATTTTAAAGACATTGAGAATATATGACCATCAACAATAAACTAGTTCATTTAGAACTCGCGTCGTCCCATATCGACCAGAAGAAGAACTTGCTACTCCTCTATATGGCGAAGCTCTTCATCTATAGTCGTCCCTTCGGGGACATCCGATAAAATTGGAACGATACAGAGAAGATTAGCATGGCCCCTGTGCAACGATGACACACACAAATCGAGAAATGGTCAAATTTTTTTTAAACCCTTCGTCGTCTTCTCTGAAACCCTAATTCCCTTTTCAAATGCTAATAGAGTTCAATTGCAATTCTTACGTTTCAGTAGATGAACTACTGAAGTCATGATCAGACAACATGTGGATTCCATGGTCAGATTGATCTTCTTGTTGATGTCTTCAACCATTTGTGGCAAGTAAGGGTGATCTTTCTTTCTATAAAGTCTCCTTTAAGTTTTTTACTTTTCCTGTCATTAAGTTTCATGCTTTATAAACTTCCGTTTATGTGTTGTATATAGTCAGTATGTGTTTGTTTATGTGCTGATTTTTTATTCATTTTGCAACTTCAGTTTCTTAGTTCATGTTGTGGTTTTGCTGTTTATAAAATAATTGATAATAGACATCCTTTGCAAGTCCTTGTTGGTTTTACATTTCCATTCGTTATCAAATGTAGACATTGATGGGAGGTATCAAAGTGAGATTGTTTTTGTACATATGGATGTATTCATGTAAACATTTAAATGACAAAAAAGAAGTTATTGATAAAATGTTTGCATATTTATGTAATGAAGATCATCAATCATATGAGTTTTTGGACTTGGAAATTCTAGAAGGGTTGTGTGATAAGTGTAAATGAAAGCAACTATTTTCAGTCAAACAAGTCAGTCACATTGATTAGTAAGCATGTTTTCTAAATAATTAGGGTTAATGACTTAGGAGGGTAATTAGGTTTCCAGTTTGTCCGTATTAGGTCACTAATGTTTTTTTGTGCGTATTAGACCAATATGGTTGTTATTACCGTTTAGAAATAGTCCTTTTTACCGGTTAAACAGGAAGAAACCGGTAAAAATAACTATTTCTAAACGAGTAAACGGTAATAACAACCATATTGGTCTAATATGCACAAAAAAAAAAAACCTTAGTGACCTAATACGGACAAACTGGAAACCTAATTACCCTCCTAAGTCATTATCCCATAATCATATTCTAGACGCGCCTTTTGACGCGAGTAGGCTAGCTACGCGTGAGTGTGTAGATTCAATATGAGCGCAAAATGCATATTGTTTCCAAAACGACATGCCTTTTTCATATTCGATATGAGCGCAATATGTTCATTGTTTCCATTGCAGTTCTTAGATGTCTTTCTAGGGTTTTGATACGAACACATATACATGTATTGTCTCCCTTGTACTTGATAGATGTCTTTTCTGGAATCAGCATAATTGCATATATGCATTTTCTTTTATGAGACTATGGCCAACTGTTATTTTCCAAAGTTGATACGAGCGTAGATTTGCGTCTTATTTCTGTTGCGGTTTTTTCCCGAGCTAGGATAATAATTATCGAGGTTATGAGTTTACATTGAGAGTAGATGTTGCACTCATTTGCATTGTTTTGTTGATTTTATTTTGTGATATGTGGCTGACTATGTGATGTTATATATGTGTAGTTATTTGTAGTCATATATCTACTATGGTTGGAATAACTTATGTTGATACTGATGTATTTGATTCATTTGTGCGGTTTATTATCATATATGGTTGTTATGACATATTATGTAGTTAAACTCTATATGCTTCAACATCATTTTGATGTGTGTTTCATGTAATTGGTTTATAAACGTTAACAATTGAGACCTTTCGAGATAGATTGATGTGTAGATGTATAGCCTTGGATTTAGTTTTATGTTTTTTTTTCCCCTTTCACTATAGTTTTTTAAAACTAAAAATTTTCTAAACATAAAACTATCTTTAAATAGGATCGGAAACCAAAAAAAAATCACATATCTTAATTTTTGTTCATTTACAATGATAGTCTCATATATAATTTTTATACAATATCCTAATTTAATGAAAAATGCACCTGCTAAAGTCATGTCTTAACCACGATCGGCGGAAAGCCGTTTTAAAGAAACATAAACTAAAAAATATATGTAATTTTTTTTTGTAAAAAGACACGTTCTCCAACATGACAAATACACATAAAATATGTTTAGTTATATACTTTTATTATATACAATATAAATATAAATTATTATATTTCTATTGTGATAGAGCTGAATAAACAATGAAGACACCGATCTATGACTATCTGAGAGAAGCCACACTAACTCCGTATAAAAAACTACTTCCCCCTTCATTCGTATTCAGCATAAAGCACCAAGTAATACAGCTTTGTTGTTTGGTGTTTTAGATCCATTCCATCTTCCTTTTTCCGCCATGGAAACCTCCGTCAGGTGGTGCAAATCCGGTAGCCTGAGCTGCTGCTGGAGCCGGAGAACCACCAACTACGATGAGCTTTTGTCTCTGAGTGTTTCGACTTCAAAACCACGCATTATCTGGAGAATTTTGTGGAGAAAAGTTCAGAAAGCGAAGAAGAAATTGTACACATTTTCAGAGTCGACGAGATTCGGTTACGAGGCTTCTGATTATGCACAGAACTTTGATCACGGATTAATGTCGAACGAATCAGATGATTTATCAAGATCGTTTTCGGCTCGTTTTGCTGTTCCTAATTCTGCAATCTTTTATCGCAAGCGATTAATTGCTTGATTGAAGAATGAAGATTCAGATTGATTAGTCGCTTTTTTGCTAAAATGATCGATTCAAATGTAATCGTTCTAGTTTTAATCGCAATTAGATAATTTGGTTGTTTTCAAAATTTACCAGTATGGATATTGAAAGATGTTGCTTCTCTCTTCAGTGACGAGCACGTGAAGATGCTTCATGCGTCGTAGCCTATTATTTTTGCTTTCTTTAAAGAAAAAAACTAGCTTATATTATTTTTATAGTTCAAAATTTCTACTTCATCTATTAAAGCGTATAAGGGTGGTCGAAACTTTATCGAAAATTATCCTAATTAAATAATCAAATTTCTGACGTATGGTCAGATGATAGGAATCCAAGTGTATATATATATATTATATATATATATATAATATATATATCTATATATATATATATATATATATATACCATTTTTATCATAAACATTTAGAAGACATAATTTAGTTGATCATAAGCATTTAGAAGACATAAATATCATTTTTAAAAAATGAATAGTTTTGTTTTTAGATAACGTATTTGCTTGTAACGAATTTTAATACTAGCTCTTATGAATTGTCTAACATCATGAATATGATTATTGTTTAAAATCGTACCTAGATTATTAGGTTTGTAAGAATCCTTGAGATTTTGCTCAGAATTATTTATAGATTCTTGAATTTGTTGTATTTTTAAAAGAATATCTCTATTAGGAGTACAATTCATCAAGATTTTGTTAGACATAATTAAATAATTCAAGCATGAATTTGATTAATTTGATTATTAAAAACGAGTACTATTTTAACAAAAATTTCAAATCTTGTAGAATTAATAGTTAGAACAACTCGAAATGAAATGATCATGATGAAATAAAAGCAATACAACAATTGAATAAATATTTTAGATAATACCTTCTTGAACTAAGCTTGAATTACAATCAGTACATACATCTGGAGAAAGAATTATCTGAAAATCTAAAGACTTTGAACATCTGCTAGTAGAAAGAGAGACTCTTGGAGATTTTTTAGACATAGTATGAACATTTTTTAGAAAATGAATATTTTTGCTTGCTGCTCTACTAACACATGATGTCTATTTATATTGTCTTGAAGTCTTCAAAACCTTGAAATCTTGTAGTGAAATCTTGTCGTATGATTCAATGGCTAATCAATTATTTGTAAGTGGTTGTCACTTTCATCTTTTGAAGAAATTGTCTTTTGTAATCAGTAAATATCACCTTTTGATAAAGCATATCATCATAGAGCATCTTCTAAAGTTTTTTGTCTTCATATTATCCATTATGGAGCATCTTGTAAAGTTTTTTTGTCTTCATATTATTATTGCTGATGAGACTAAATAATTTTGATAATAAATTTGATAATATTTGTTTTATATACACTATAAATACATATAGTGTATAATTACACAGTATATACGCACACGTATTTGAAAATAATGGATTTGATAAATAGAAGAAACGAAATACCCTACATTGAAGGTATTACACCAAATTTAAGAATTTCTTATTCTTCATAAGGATCATCAAAAAAGGTCTTGAGCGTCTTGAAATAAACCATTCTTTATAGATTTTGGAGAATCGTCAGAAACTGATGGAGTTTGGCGAATTTCTTGAAGTAAGTTTTGAAGTTCTTCAGGAGAAGAGGTAGCAGCATCTTTAATTCTTGAAATTAAATCCACATCACTTTGAGGAAGACTTTTGATAAAAGTGGCTTCAACCTCCGGTTTTTGAATATATATTTCTTGATAATATTTAATTACTGCTTGTTCACTGGCTTGAGAAATCTTCATTTTATCCCACCATTTTGAGCGAAATTGTCTATTAAGCCAGGGAGGAGAGGTGTCCTTTGCTTCTTGATAATGAAAAGTCCAAGACATTATCCATGAAAACTCTGAATATCATAGTGAATTGTAGCATATATTCAAATTCTGGAATTTGTTGAATAAACAATTCCTTAAATTTGAGATATCCATCGTAAATTTCTTTTGGTAAACAATTTGGAAGAATTCCCATATATTTGTACCAATTGATAAACCATCTTGAGTATTCACAATTGAAGTTTAAATCAAAGAAGATAAACCATGAGTGTGAATAATTTCGAATAAAGAACGCCTTAGTCCAGGCATCTTGATAATCATAGTAAGAAAATCTGGGATAAGCAGGATAACTTATAAGAGGTTTTTCAGAATGAAGGTTTGGAACCCAACTTTCTGGAGAAATGATTTTGATGATGTGAGCTTTGCTAAAATCAATGTTTCCTTCTTTTGAATTAGAACGATGAACAAAATTGACCGAACCAGATTCTTGCAAAATAACTTGATAATATTCTCGAGTTTTATATGAATCAACATAAAAGGTTTTCCCTTGACCAAAAAGATGATTTGTGAGAATATGAAAACCTTGATGTAACTTATGGATTTGAAAATCTTCAAGAATTTGAACTCTTAAGAAATTTGGATTAAGAACATAAGGAGTTTTTGTAGGAGGGCTAGGAGTCACAGAATTTTGAGTTTGAGGAGTAAAAGGTCTTACAAAAGGGCTTATCGTGTTTGTTGAAGTAACTTTTGGAGTAACAAGTTTTGATTGAAGGATATTAGAATAAAGTTGTGAATTCTTAGAAGTAGGGGTTAAAGGAGAAAAACGATTTTGATTTTGAAATGAAACAAGCTTTTGATAGACGGGTTTCTTGTCATCATGTTTGGAAGAGGACGATGAACTCATTTTCCCTGCAAAAATTCTCGAGAAAGAAAGTCAGGAAGCGAATTATTTTCGCCTTTTATGAATTCTATTTCGAAATCAAAGTTACCTAAAAGGGCTTGCCATCGAGCAAAAATTTGTTTGGAAATAATATTTTTCACATCCTTTTCTAAATAGTTTTTGCAGATTGACAATCTATTCTTAATAAAAAACTTTTCATAATAAATCATCTTCAAATTTTTTAATACATAAAACAATGCTTAAAATTTCTTTTTTGACAGTTGAATAATTTTTTTGTGTATCATTCCATGCACCAGAGTAATATCGAACCAATTGTTCTTCCTTTGAATTAACAAATTTTTGTTTTAGAATTCCTCCGAATCCAATATCACTAGCATCGGTTTCAACTATGATATTGGCATTGGGATGAGGTAAATTTAAACATGGCAAAGTAGGAACCTTTTGTTTTATATATTTAATTATATCTGTATGTTTTTGAGTCCATGGTTCAGGATTATCTTTTAATATGTTATAAAGTGGTTTACATATAATCCCTAAATCTTTGAAAAAATCATGGATATAATTTAAGCATCCTAAAAATCTTTGAAGTTGTTTTTTATCCTTAATTTCATCAGGAAATTTAGTAGAAAACTGCAAACTTCTTGTAATAGGTCTAATAGTGTTTTTGACAATATCATGCCCTAAAAAACGAATTTCATCTTTAAATAAATGCATTTTTGCTGCAGAGACAGCTAAACCATTTTGATAAATTAAATCATAAAATTGATTTAAATGTTGAAATGTTGATCAATTGATTTTGAAAAAATTAGGACATCGTCAATATAAGCAATAGCAAAACTACTTATAGGAATTATGATATCATTCATAATATTTTGGAATTCAGAAGGGGCATTTTTTAATCCAAAAGGCATTACATTCCATTCAAAATGTCCGAAGGGAACATTAAAACCAGTTTTGTATTTATCTTCCTCATGAAGTTGTATTTGCCAAAATCCTGATTTCATATCAAACTTTGAAAATATATTTGAATCATAAAGTTTTTTAGCAAATCTCGTTTATTAGGAATAGGATAACGAATCCATTCTAAAACTTTGTTTAAAGGTTTATAATTGATAACTAGTCTTGGTGATCCTCTTTCTAATTCTGCGGCATTCATAACATAAAATGCTGAACAAGACCATGGTGATTTAGAAGGTCTTATAAGTTTTTTATTTATTAAATCTTGAATTTCATTTTTACAATGACTTTCTAGTTCACTATTCATGTGAATGGCTCTAGATTTTGAAGGAATATCCTTTTCATCAAAATTTTTTATATACGGTAACTTTACAATATGTTGTTTTCTATTCCAAAAGGCATTAGGAATATTAGAACATACATTTTTTTCAAATTTTAATTTTAAACCTATTATTTTATTTTGAATATTATTGTCATTTAATTGATTAGTTATTCGAACATTATTTATTTCGTTAATAAGATATTTAGCTTGTTGTGTTTTATAATTAAGGACATTAATTGTTGAATATAGAGGAGGTTCACAAAATTTAAATATAATTTCTTTTCCAAAACATTGGTTCTTATACCATCATCATGAACCATAAAAGGATATAGTTTTGTAATAAAAGGTGTTCCTAGAATTAAAGGAGAAGATAGATCTTTTACTAAAATTAGGTGAGTTTTATAACAGTAATCTTGGTTATTACAAATATGAACATCGGAAACTTTATAATTTACAATTAATTTTGTACCTCCGGCACCAGTAAGTCTAGATGCAGTTTTTTCATAGAATTGTGTAGGAAAAATTCCTTCTTGAATACAATTCATATCAGCACCACTATCAATTAAAGCAGTTAGGTTGATTTTAAAATTATCCTTGACTAAAGTAATTTGAGTGTTCCATTTTTGAGAAACTTGATTATTTATAATTTTTCCAATAGTTACATTTTCAATTTTATTTTCTTCTTCTTTGTTAATTTCTATATTTTTGTTTTTAAAAATAGAAGATTTTTCTTTTTCTAAAATTAAAATTTTATTTTTTTATTTCTTTTATCTCTTGTTTTACTATTTTTAATTCTTCTTGAAGTTCTTGCATAGAGATTGGCTTTGCTTCAGTAAATCTTTCATATATTTTTTTAAATTAAAATTTTCATTATTATCAGGAGTTATGTTATTAGTTTTATTAAGCATCTGCTTTATTAATAATTCTTGGATATTTTTATCTTTTATAGAATCAAGAGAGTTTAAAAGATCTTTATCATCTTGTGAAAGAACG